AGGCGCAAGAACCCGTCGCACCTCTTCTCCTCCCCCTGGCTGGACTGCCCCCGCCCCTCCGCCGAGCCCCCCTGCGTGTGGAGCCGCCTGCGCTGTTGGAACAACGGGTCCACGTCGTCCGCCGCTACCGCCTGAGAACCAGCCCTGCTGGGCGCCCTCGCCATCTCTTCCAGGGCCCGGGGGCGCAGGAGCTCCCGCCGGCGCGCGCCCGGGGCGCCAGCGCTGGAGACCGCTGCCCTGCGCGGGCCACTCCGTAGTTGAAGGCGTCACGTCTGCGCCGCCTCCAACGCCCCCTGGGCCCAGCGTGGCAGCCCCAGGGGCGCCCCGCTGAATAGGCTGTGGCACCGCGGCCGCGCCGTGGTTCGGCAAAGCCATGCGGAGCCGCGGCCTTCTCCACCCAGACCCCCTCGGGCAATGATTGTTTCATTACGTGGGCTCCCGCGTTGAAGAAATCACACCACCTAAAAAAACAGTGTATATAGATAAGCATTACAAGATACATGGTTTGGCGAAAATCATTACATGATATTTTACACATGTTTAAATAAATGAGAATAAAAATATGTACACATACAGTCATATATATATATATATATATATATATATATATATATATATATATATATGTATATGTATATGTACATGCGCAGGCATGCGTGCACAGAGGTGACACTGCGCGGTGCCAATCGAGAGCGTGCTTTTTGGCCCCAAGAAGCAGAGAGGGCTCTGGGTCGGGGCCAGGACGGAAAAAAACACCCTTGGAACAAAAAGTGCCCTGGAACAAAGCACTTGCGGGAAGCTCGAACGCTCGCGGACGGTCGACCTTTCCGTCAAGAGCATGCGCCGGTTATTTCCGCACAAGTACGCGGCGCGATGATGCGCCCACGCGCGTCGACCAAATGTGATCCTGATCGACGGAAAGAAGTGGAGAGAGACGAACCCGAGTGCACAGTTTCACACGTGCGTCGACGACGCACATCGGCAGGGCAGCGCACGCGGCGCTCTGTGTTGCCCCAGACCTTAAGGCCTGGAGCAGCAGGAGGAGGATGTGGAGGAGGATGAAGGAATCGCATTGCATATCGCGTATCCGATCTCGCGTTGCGTCCTCGCGCAGACGCCGCATCGGGCCATCGACGCGGGGGCGGGGGAGGGAGGATGGAGCAGGAGGGTGGGTCGTCATTTCCTCCAAGAATTGCGACCTGCGCATGCGTTGTCCCGCGCGGCCGGCGCACGCCCCAGCACCAATGCCCGCGCGTCGACGCAGATCGACGAGCCGGATCGAGGGGGAAGGAGGCGAGAAGAACTCCACTCGCCAGGCGCAGCGTGGGCGGCCCTTCTGCAGTAATTCTCGAGCGCGAAAGATACCCGTGCCCTTACCTCGACAGGGTGGCAAGGGGCCGCGGGGGCGGTTCGTCGCAGCTGACGGCGGCTGCACAAGTGTAGAAACGACAGCCGATCGAGCATTACAGACCGCTGTCTTCTCGGGGCGCACGTTAGCACCGATCGCACGTGCGTTCGAATCGGCGGAGTGCCCGACCCTGCGTTGGTTGTTGTCGATGTAGACCAGCTACTGCGGAGGCGCGCCCCCAGACACACATCCGGGCGTTGAGGAGTCAACGCGCACTCGGGGGCGCATGCGAACAACTCTGGCGCGAACGTCATTGCGCGACTACCGCCCTATCGCGAATTGCTCGATGCAGAGACATCGCGAATCTGTGCCCTGGGCGAGGTCGCCAGAGGCCGCCCCCCTTGGACGGCCGTCTGCGGATCACCCCAGCTAGGTACAGTTGCCCCATGCAAACCCAAAAAACATACCCGTACCTAGCCGGGGTGCCGCAGCTCACCCCAGCTAGGTCCGGGTATGTTTCGGTGGTTTCAGGCAGGTCCCCGTACCTAGCCGAGGTGGCGGCAGGCCCAAAACGCTCTCGAGCACATATCATGCCCTCCAGAGCCGTCCCCGACGTGGCCGCTGCGGCCCCCTGGGGGCGCGACATTGCAACGTCGTTCCTCAGGGCAGGCCCGGACGCATTGGTTGCCAGGATAGCGAGGACATGCAACTCTTTATCGATTGGGACAGGCGCCGCCACATATGGGCGGCTTTGAACCGCGCACGCACCACGATGCCCCGAGACGTCCCTAACACAAACCGGCGCTTGTCGCTGCAATCAGACACCCAACCATCGAACGCGCCGTTGCGTCTTGACGCGCGGATGCTGCACTGGCGCGCGCGGGGCAAGCTGACCAGGCACAGTAGCAAGCGCCCAGTCCCCCGGTTGGCCCATCTCACCTTGGCCGGCCCCGGGCACGGGTATCTTTCGGACCAATGAGTAATGCAGCGGCCAACTTCACGTGCTAATTGTCCGAGAAGGGAAAAGGGGAGGAACTTTTAATAGGAACGCGTGCGATGATCAGGGGCGAAGGCGTGGATGTGGAGGTTGGCTGGGCGAGGGCGGCGATTCCGATCGAAGCGTTTTGTTACATGTTGGGCAAGGAGGGAGAGAGGCGGCCTGCGGGCCTGCAGCTCGCTCCCGTGAGCAGTGCCAGGAGCGGCGGCTGCTATTCTTCAGCATGCGATCGCTCGATGGATTCGGAATGGGATAAGGAGTGCGTGTGTGTGAATGTGTGTGAATGTGTGTGAATGTGTGTGTGTGCGTGTGTGTGTGTTGTGTGTGTGTGTGTGTGTGTGTGTGTGTGTGTGTGTGTGTGTGTGTGTGTGTGTGTGTGTGTGTGTGTGTGTGTGTGTGCGTGTGCTTGTGTGTGCGTGCGTGCGCGTGCGTGCGTGAGGGGGGGGGATCCCACCCTCGCATGCGCGCGCACGCGTTACAAGACCCAATTCCTCTGCGCGCGCCTCGCTGCGCGCCTCTGGGCGCGCGCGGCGCGCGCGCGCGCCGAGCGCTCGAGCCCGCGGCTGGGCGCGCGCCGCCCACGCCCCACCCCGAGCGACGATAAAGAATTGGTCTTATACGCGAGATGGCATATCGACCTTCAAGCGGCTCGCGCGGACCGCCTGCGCGACGCGCCACACTGGAAACGAGGGCAATTACGCGTGACCTTACGCGGTCAGCTAGTACGCGCCCATGGCGGCGCAGACGTCCCCGTTTTCTCTTTCGCCGCTCATATGCATGGTATACAAAGAGTGCTCCAAGTGAAGACCAAACGTACACATAGTTTATAGATGCGCACAACTGCACATGTATAGCTAATATATATATATATATATATATATATGTATATATCTATATAAAACTGCATGCATATATGCATGTATGTGTGTATGTATGTATATACGCGCGTGGTTGGATATCAAAAAGCATGAACGCAAAGCGTGCAACAACAAAATCATTACAAAGCGAAGAGTCATGCACATCGAACGTAATGAACAAATCATTACCTGCGGAGGTTAGGGCACGGAGCCTCGCCCGAGCTGTCGTCCAGCACCGCAGCCATCGTCTCCTCGCTGCGTGCTGCGCTTGTCTGCGTCGCCTCCCACTGGCCCCAGCAGGTGCGGCAGGCCTATTGAGCGTGCGCTCCCTTGCCAAGAGCAAGCTCGCATCCCGTGGCCCCACAGCCGAAGCAGGTGCTGGCCACGGCTTCTCCATTGCCACGCCCGGCCTCGGAGACCCCCTGAGACGATGTAGCAGCCGGCAGTGGCTTGTCAGCCCCTCGCCCTTGATGCCGAGTGGGCGCCAGGCCCACGTCCTGCCAGAGCCCCGCGCTGTCGTCCGGTGCCTCGGTCTTCGTTTCCTCGCCGCGTGCTGCGCTTGTCTGTTTCGCCCCCCGCTGGTCCCAGCATCTGCGGCAGTAGGCCTCTTGAGTGTGCACCCCCTTGCCAAGAGCAAGCTCGCAACCCGTGGCCCCGCAGCCGAAGCAAGCGCCGGCCACCGCTTGTCCATTGCCATACCCGGCCTAGGAGTCTCCCTGACGGCGTCGCAGCCGGCAGTGGCTTGTCAGCCCAGCGGACGCCTGGTCCAAGTCCCTGCCAGAGATTGGGTTGCCCTGAGATAGAGCCCCCACGGGCTGCTGCAGCAACCCACGCCCGCTTGTTTGCCACCAGCATCAGCGACCACTGGTGACGCACGGCGCGTTTGAAGATAGTCGCCGCACAAGGTCGCCTGGTTCTCCTCCGTGCGAAACGCCGCGCGGAGGCTGAGCCGGAGAGATGGACGCTCCTGCATCCAGAAGTCCAGGACCTTCTGGGTGGCCTCGGGCTCAGGACCATCGGACCCCATGCTGTTGGTTGGCCTTGTAAAGGCTGTGAGGAGGGATGCGGAGATGGGAAGTCGCTGCAGCTCGGGAAACCGTGGCATCTGGATAGAGGGGTGGAGAAGCAGGGGCGGCAGAGAGGCCCAGGCGAGACATCTCCGAAGCGCCCTCTCGACCGCGCTCCCGAAAGGCAGGAGGCACCCCGGGTCGCGTGGGCAGCCGATGCAGGAGTGGACACCGTGCCGTGCACAGGCACAAGAGTCGGAAAGGAATAAGGAGGAAAAGAGCAGAGCGCCACTGGAAGCCCCGTTAGCGTCGCGCCTCCACCGGGACCTCCAGCAAGGACTGGGAGGGAGGAAGAGAGGAAGAGAGGGGGAGGGAACGCCCAACCCAGCCCAGCCCAACCCAGACCATCCCAGCGCAGCCCATCCCAGCACGACCTGGGAGAGGGGTGGAGGGAGGGAGGAGGGAGGAGGGAGGGAGGCAAGGAGGGCGTGGATGGGGACATGTGGCGGGGGAGGCGGAGGCAAAAGGAGGGGAGGATGAGGGGGAAGGAGGACGAGGGGAGGATGAGGCGGAGGGGAGGATGAGGGGGAAGGAGGGAGAGAGAGAGAGAGAGAGAGAGAAAAAAAAAAAAAAGGACGAAGGAAGAGGATGATGAGGGAGCAGAGAAGAAGGATGACGAGGAGGAGGTCAGAAACGAACGAGCAAGGGGAGGGAGGCGGTGTGGCTGTGGCTGAGAAGCAGCAGATCATAGGAGGGAGCAGTTAGGGGGGAACGAAGAGATATGAGAAAGCAGGGTAACAGCATACAAGGCCCGCAGCGCTCTCACATGTGGCGGCCCACGTGACTGTCGCGCCGCGGCGAAGCAACAGGGGGATGAGCGGACGGCTGGCAGAGTGCAGAAGACAAACAACGACTGACTTCTCGAACTCGGCATGTGGCCCCTCCTCCTCTAGCTCCTCATCCTCCTCGTCCTCCTCCATCATCCTCCCGTTCCACTTCGTCCTCGCCGTCCCCATCGTCCTCCTCCTCCTTCTCCTCATCCTCCCCTCTAGCCTCCTCATCTTCCCTCCTCCTCCTCTTTCCCTCTTCCTTCCTTCTACTCCGCCACCTCGTCCTCGTCCTCCGCCCCTCTTCCTCGTCCTCCTCCCCCTTCCTTCAGACAACCCATCCATGCACCACCAAGCGTGTCATTAGGGCGGGCTGTGCGTTTGTCCGGAAATTTTCTCAACCAGTTATGACCTCGAAGCTTGGCATTCCAAAACTTAGATATACGACCAACCTTCGGGTAACCAGGAGGTTCGCGGGGAGCAGGGACCAACGTCTCACCCAGTCACTATCATTATCGATCCCACGATCGATTCCACTATAGATCTCACGTTCGATCTCACTCGATCGGTCTCACGATCGATCTCACGATCGACCCTGCAATCGATTTTATCATCGATCTCGCAGTCGATCTCACTCTATCGATCTCACAGTCGATCTTACAATCCAACTTCTAATCGATCTCGCTATCTCTCACGATTGATATCACAATCGATCCCACTACGATCTCACAAGCGACGGGACACCGACGGGACACCTCCAGCCGCCGCCCGCGGACACCACGGCGGGAGAACCCCGGCCACGTCAGCCCACCAGAGGGGCGGTCTTTTGTTTTGATCCGCCCTAGCCGCACCGGAGTCATTCCTCTCGCCCGGCCACGAAGCTTCGCGGGGCCCGCACGCGCGACACGAATCCGAAACCGAAACCAATTTTCCAGTGGGGGGCTCTCCGCTTCACTGCGATTTCACCCCCTCGCTTCGGACACGGGAAAGTCCAAAATTTACACGGGAAGGACACGGGTCGTTTTCAAAAACGAGACTCTCGCATTGGCGCCGCAGACACTCTTTCTAAACTTCTCCAACAATGATGCTGTCGGAGGATGGGCCGTTCACAACATGAGAATAATGCCATACCGCCGGGCGCATTCGTCCCAAAAGCATGTAACAACTACGCGGATCGAGCGCGGCTCGTGTTCAGAATGGGGCTGACTCTGGCGACCTTTCTCTCCTTACGACCCGAAGTTCCACAATATGTGCAACAGATACACGGACGTAAGGCGTATCCAGCTTGAGGCTTCCTTGCATTTTACGGGAATATGATTGAACTTAGGGAACGTTCACACACAGACAGGGAGTAGATATTCAAAAGAAGCATTCGCTGGACACTTCCTTCATCTTTACGGCCCTACCTTATTTCACCTTCTTACATCTTGAGTCATGTAATGCGGGTCCTCTGCAAAACGGTGCCTCGCCTGAGAAGCAAGCCAACGGGGATCTCGTCTGTCAAGACGGGCGCTACCCGCAATGGAAAGGAACACCTGCAAGGACTTGAGGAGGGGGCTTGGGACGGGAGGGTGTATTGTAGCATCGTTGATGTATCTTGGGTTTGCTCTGGTCCTCCCGCTCCTACTCCTGCTCCTCCCCCGTATCACTTCCACCCCGTGATCCACCATCCTCCTTCTCTTCCTCCCTCCCTCCTCCCTCCCTCTCCTTCGCCACCTCGTCCTCGTCCTCCGCCCCTTTTCCTTGTAGGTAGCTCCCCCTCTCGCACCACTGGGCGTGTCGTTTTGGCCGGCCGAGCGTTTGGCCTAAGACTTCCTCGCCACATATGGCCTCGGAACTTGGCACTCTCAGAGTTGCACAAGTGGAGAGCGGGCCGGTTTAACACATTGGGCTCTTTTCTTGGCAGCGCGCGCACCCATCCTGATGGAGGGCGAGACGTTTTCAACATGAACCTCTGTTTTTGGCGCTGCGCACGTTCGTCTTACAAACATGCAACAGTTAGACGGGTCGAGGGCGGCTCGTTTCCAAAATGGGGCTGGCTCTTACAACGCCTCCAAGTTTATGGCCCGAAGTTCAACATTGTGCAACGTTGGTACGGCTGAACAGCGTATCCTTCTTGAGACTTCCTAGAACTGTACACCAGAAGCAACTTTGAACTAAAAGGAGCTATCGCTGTAAACCTCCTTCAGCTGTATGACCCTACCGTCGTGGTTTTGATAATCTTGAAGGATGGAATGCGGGTCCTTTGTGAAACGGAGTCTCGCCTGAATGCCAGGCCAGCGGGGCGTTCGCCTGCCAAGACGGGCGCGTTCCGCAGTTGAGAGAGACACACCTGTAAGGACTTTGGTGGAGAGGTGGGACGGGAGGGTGTATTGCAGCAGCGTTGATGCATCGTGGGTTTGCTCTGGTCTTCCACCCCCTCCTCCTCCTGCTCCCCCCTTGTCACTCCGACACCGTCCTCCTCCATCATCCCACTCCCCCTCTTCCCCCTTCCTGGTCTCCCCCAGCTCCTCCTCCTCCTCCTCTTCCTCATCATCATCCTCGTCCTCATCCTCCTCGCTCCTCCGTCGTCGCCAGGAGATACCCACCACCGCGCTGTGCAGCGGCCTCTGGATGTCGATCCTCCTGATATTTCTTTCTTCGCCCCCCTGGCGCATCAAGCCCAACATCCGCCTGCGTTTTGCTCTGAGTCCCTGTATCTTCTGGGCTCTCTACACAAAAATGTCGCCGCCAAACAGGCATCTTGTGGAGGGTCTCGAGGAACCTTCCCACCCCTGCACCCTGCCCCCCCTCCTCCTACCCCCTCCTTTTCCTCCTCCTTCTCCCCCTTCTCCTCCTCCTCCTCCTCTTCCTCCTCCTCCTCCTCGTCGTCCTCCTCCTCCTCCTCCCATCCCTCTCCTCCCCCTCAATCCCCTTCCCCCCCCCTTGCTCCTCCTCCTCCTCCTCCTCCTCCTCCGCCTCCGCCTCCTCCTCCTCTCCCTTCTCATCCTCCATCCCATCCCCTCCCTCACCCTACCTCCGCATCCTTCACCTGCAAAGCAGCGCGGTGGAGGACGCGCCCGCGCGCCAGAGCAACAACAATTTCGACATCGCCACCGACGCCAGCGATCCGAGGGGCTTGCGCGGTCAAAGCGAAGGCTTCAGGCCCCTTAGGGCCCACGATGACGAAGACGCCCCACGACGACACAACGACGACAACCCAACACGACGACGACGACGACGACGACAACAACGAAGACACCCCCACGACGACACGAAGACGATGACGACCACGAAGGCCTCTGACCCCTCGGGGCCCGACACAAATCTGGCCTGTCCCGGCACACTCCCCGAAGTGCCGACTCCAGCGCCCCGAGGACGACGAGGCTCATCCAGCGGCCATGTGCGGGACGGGTTTGCACGTCTTCGGCTCTGCCACGCCACCGGCGCACTGCCCAGCAGGAGCCGATGCGCTGCGAGCTCTTGGGGCTCACGCGAATGAGGCCTGATGACGTGGTGTGCAGCCCGCGCGTCACTCTCGTAACCTGCAACCTGCGCGTCTGGGGCCACGTGCTGCGCGTGCTCCAAGACGACGCGGTCGAGGAGATTGTCCACTTCGCGGCACGGGGCCACGCGAGCAAGAGTTTCGCGGATCCCCTCTAGTTCGCCGAGGACAAAGTCTACGGCACGTAAGCACTTCTCAAGTGCGCGAGGCTGCATCGCCCGCTGCGGCGCTCCGTGCACAGATCTTCCGACGAGGTGTACGGCCACAGCTTCCTGTGCGCCACAGGGCGCACTTACTCGAGGGGGCCCCCGTGCTGTCCACCAACCCTTACTCGGAGCCCAAGGCTATCGCTGAGCTGCTGGTGCGCGGCGCCTCCGACAGGCTCTGGGCGGCGCAAGGGCGGGCGGCGGGGCACTTTCGCCAGAGGCCAGACAACGTGCCCTGGAAAAGGATATGGGTTCGGTGGCAGTTGCCTGGCGCCGATGCCCGTGCTGTTCCTGTACTTTACGAAGGGGTCCCAGTCGCAACGGGCGGGATTTGTCCCGACGCGACTCAGCGCTCTCCCCCCTGGAGGCCCACAAGCCCGCCGAGGCCGGAGATTTCATGGCCAGCTGCGCCCAACCTCCCCTCCGCGAAGCAGCGCCACCGAGTGCCTCTGCACCGAGCGAGGCCGACCAGGAGGCGGGGCCACCCGCGCTCTCCGGCGTGCTGCAAGACGGCGCGCTGCCCGTCGCGGGACTGCGCGGCGCTAGCGCGCCTGCGGACCTCTCGGGCTCCGCTGCGCAATGCAAGGGCTGGCGCGCAGGGACGGCCGCGCGGCTCCCCTGGGCGCCCGCCGCCTAGGAGGCGTGGGCCAGCCGAGCGGGGGGAGAGGGGGTTCCATTACAGTCAGGCCCCTGCCAGAAGGAAAGCTAAAGAAGGAACGAAGTCCCTTTTTTTCATACTCACATAATAAATCTGTAAGGAACGGCCGAGCCCCTTTTTGCAAGCGTTCCCTCATCGTTGCCTTTCGTTTTGCCACAACCCAAGGAACGCCGAGGGGGCTTCGTGGCGCAATGGCGAGGGAACGCCAGCAGACCCAAGGAACCACCGAGCCACTTCCGAACCCGAATTGGACCTTATTTCAGGAGCCTCGCTGTACTGCGCCGGACGCGGCTCGCGTCCACGACGGGACGTGGAGCTTCGCGGCCTGTTGCCTTCTTGGTTGCGATTCTCTGGTCGCCGAAGGTAAGGGAGGGCTCAGGGTCCCCGAACATCATCCAAACAATGCTTGCACGGATTGTCCTGCAGGGGTCGAAATTTCCTGACCCTGAATGCTACAACCATCGCGGTTAAGCATGCCCTAGATATATCGCAGTCCACGGAGCGATGTGTCAGCACCTGCTCCGCATAGTCAATGGGGCAAGTGCAATCACGCAGCCGCTGCAACAGCGCCACATACGGTAAATCCGCTGGCCCAACGGGCCAGAGGCGTGCCAAGATCTCCCGTGACAGGTTAACAATATTTCTAGTTCACGCGCGCGTGGCGGCTCT